TCTTGCCCGCCGCGTTCATGTCTCGGCCCGGGTGCGCCGGCACGGCCGGTCGTGCCGTGGCGGTGAGTCGTGCCGTGCCGGTGCGTCGCGGCCGCGTCTCGCCCGACGCGCGCGACCGCCAAGCGCCCTGCTCGCCAACAGCGACGCGCGCGGCTCCGTCTCTCTTCTCCACCGGACCTACTTTTGAGCGGCACCGACGCGCGCACCCCCACAGCCCCAAACGCGTTCACGCCCACCCGCTCCACTCACGCCGCCAAGCCCGATACCATGACCGCCATGCCCGCGGCCGCAGCACCGCTCCTGCTGCTCCTCGTTCTCGCGGCCCTCATCGTCACCGCTGCGTCGGATTCACTGCCGCCGCCGCAGCGCTGGATCGTTGCGCTGAAACCCGATACGGCCGTCGCCGACTTGCTTGCGCGACTTGCGCCGCTCGGGCTCGCGTTGCAGCAGCATCCGCAGTCGTCGATCATTTCCATCCCGCCCGCGTGGCGCGCCGCCGTCATTGAGCCGGTCCCACAAGCCGTGGCGGCCGTGGAGCACACGGCCGTGTCGTTGAGTACGGCGTTGAGCGCAGTCGCGTTCCGTGTCGAGGAGGACAAGGTGATCAATGTGGCCGCGCCGTTTGGGGTCGGTGCGGCGCCGCCGCCCAACGCGTGTGTCTCGACCGAGTTGAATCCGGTCAACTGGGTATATTATGCTGTTCAATTGGTTCTTGCGGAGCTCGGCATAGTTTGACGCGGCGCTCGCAGGGCCTCGACCGTATCGACCAGCCGACGTTGCCGCTCAACAGCGAGTACGCTTACCCGTGTCTGCCCGAGACCAAGTCGGCGTCGATCGTGCACTATGTCCTCGATACAGGCATCTACCTCGAGCATAACGGTGCGCCGTTTTGTTCAGGCGTGGCCACCTCGCGGGGTGATTGCTGACGCGTCCCTCTTACTGGCGCAACAGAATTCGAGGGCCGCGCGCGGTGGGGCACGAACGTGGTCGCGAACTCGACCGACACGGACGAGAACGGGTGCGTTTAGCTCCTCCAAGCGTCAGCACTCGGATCGCCTCACTCACTCATTTGCTCGTGTCACGGTAGCCACGGCACGTTCGTCTCGGGGATCATTGGCGGCAAGACCTATGGCGTCTACAAGGCAGCGCAGCTCGTGGCCGTCAAGGCGCGTTGCAGCTCGTTCTCGACGGCGCGCCAGCAAAGCGTCGAGACTGATCCCATGCCCTTCGATTAGGCGCTGAATGCGGCCGGGTCCGGCACAATCTCCGACGTGTTGCGCGGGCTCGACTGGATTGCGGCGCAGGGTACGGGTGGCGGTGCGGCCATCATCAAGTATGTTATCCATCATAGTCTTGCGGTGCTTGCTCTCCTCTGCCGCTCATGGTGACTGTCATAACATTTAGCATGTCGGTTGGAGGCTTGTTCAATTCCATCTTGAACGAGGCCGTGGAGCGCATCATTGCGCTTGGGTTCACGGTCGTGGCCGCGGCCGGTGCGTATCGCATGCACTGTCCGAGTGCGCGGGCCTCCAGCACTGACCATCGATCGACTCCACCATATGCCAGGCAACTTTGCCATCGACGCGTGCCTCGTGAGCCCGGCCTCTGCGCGCGGGTCGATCACAGTAGGTGCGACCAACATCACCGACGAGCTCGCCTACTATTCGGACACGGGGCCCTGCATCGATGTACGTGCCCTGCTCCTCGTTCCACCCCCTTCGCCCTTCCCCTTACATCCCCACCTCCGAACTAGCTCCTCGCGCCCGGCACCGGCATCACGTCGGCGTTTATCGGGTCGCCCGACGCATCGACGACACGGTCGGGCACGTCCTTTTCGGCACCGCACGTTTCGGGCCTGCTGGGCCTGTACGCGGCGACCACGGGCAAGACGTCGACGGCCGACTTGCGCGCCGAATTGCGCGCGCGCGCGGTCAAGGACGTGATCAAAATCCCGGTGACCGCGACGCGCACGCCAAACTTGTTGGCGCAGGTGTGGGGGCCGTGAGGACGGATGGCGGTGGGCGCGATGTTGGAGATGATTGGCTTTGGTTTTGATTTTTTTTACTTTAGGCTCTTGGCTCAGGCCTGCTGCCCGAGTTTGACGGCTGCATGCTGTTTTGTTGTCAAATGTTGTCGCAACTGATGCTGTCCATGATGTTTTGCCAAGATACCGCCGAGTTTTGATTGCGATCGGGCCAGCGCCTGCGCTGGGCGTCTGCATCGTGGGAGCGGCGGCTAGGCCGAGACTGAACGTCTCTCGCCTTGTCATAGGCACCGACGTGGCCGCGCGTGGCATGCATCCGGCTGCGGCGTGACCTCTCCGCGTCAGCCCTCGTCGTCCACCACGTCTTCGCTCGCAACGCAACGGCTCGCGACGCTGTCCACTTCGACCACGACGTCAACCACACTCGCAACTGCCCGCACTCGACTGCACGAGCTGCCGTCTACCCCGGAGTACCGGTCCCAGCCCCCGCAACTGCACTATTCGCCACCGCACTATGTCGTCTCGCCTCCTGGTCCCTAGTTCGCTGTCCTGTAGGGACTCTTAGGCCGGTTTTAACTTGGTGTAATAGAAGTGTAGTGTGC